GTAAAAATATCTCAAAAACGTACTCTTTAGAAAAGTTTAAAACAATTTTTAAAAAAATCTTACTTAAATTAGATTTTACTTTAAAGGGATCCCAAAGTGCCGAGACAAGTTGTGTTTATTTTAAAGAGAATGATAAAAAAAAATGTTTAAGCAGAATTTTTTTTAATCAAGTTATAGATTTTTAAAAATTATTATTAAAGATGGCTAAAGAATATTTTTAGTTACTTATTTTATGTAAAAAAAAATTTTATCATCAATTACTGTAGAAATTCTTTAGTTATTTTATTTTCTAACTTTTGCAAAGCTCGCATTAAAAATATAAAACATTTCAGATATTTTAAGTTCGTCTATTGCTATAAATTATTTTTTGTGTTTGTTTTATTGTTATTAAATGATTATGACCCTTATAAAGATTCTGTTTAAAAAAATATTTTGTATTATTTAACACAACTGCAGGCCGCTGACAGCGGCTTTTGATTTTTTCAAATTTTTACCGCAAACTGCTGGTAAAGTACGCTTCACAATTCATCTTGTTTTGTACATAAATTTTTACTCTAGACACATAAAATTTAATTGTTCTTAAGGTTTAATTCTCTACATAATCAAGAACAAATAAACCATATTGTATTATTATAAAAATTTGTCGCTTGACAAAGTTAAAAAATCTTCAGTAATCCTGACTTAAAAAAACTTCTTTAAATTTAATTGTTAATAAAGCAGCGTTAACACTCTAGTAGAAACGAATAGGTATTTAGTTAAGTAATTAAAAACGTTTTTTTTCGTCTTGAAAAGCATTCTTTTGATAAAAAAAAAAGAGTTTTGTTTTGGAAATGTTTTAAATACTATTTATAAAACAATGGTTAAAGTACTTTGCATTTCTTATTGTTCAATGATGCGTTTTAAAAACTTTTTTTAATAAAAAGTTCATTTGTTTAGCTGTTTATTGTTATATAGTTTGCTAAGCTGTCAAAAAAATTTACAATTCGAATTTTAATTTGTTGTCAATGCGTTTTAAATTTTATTTAAAAAATGTGTAGTTGTAGCATAAAAATTTTTGTTAAAATGGCTGGTAGCGAAAGAGTTAACCTTATGAAAGTTTAATTAACAGCATTTGTTTGCTTAATTTTTCGTCGTTTACAAATATTCTCAAAATTCTTATTTAATCATGCCAGAATATATTTAATGAAATTTATTTTGTAAAACATGTTTTGAGTAAATTTTTAAATTGAAAGCGTTTAAGGAAAAACTTTTTATTGTAAATTTTTGGTAGTTTTTTGATTTGTAATTTCAAGAGACAGGTTAATATAAAATACCTGCCAACGATGACATAAATTGAAAAGTATTTAACACAATAAGTTTTTTAACGCGCGCTTAGACTTTATTGCCATAAAACATTATTTATTACTTTAATTACAGGGTTTATGCGAAATATAAAACATTTTTTAAGAAAATATAAAGCATTTTTTAAGAAAATATAAAACATTTTTTAAGAAAATATAAAACATTTTTTAAGAAAATATAAAACATTTTTTAAGAAAATATAAAACATTTTTTAAGAAAATATAAAACATTTTTTAAGAAAATATAAAACATTTTTTAAGAAAATATAAAACATTTTTAAAGAAAATATAAAACAAATTTTATGCTAATATAAAACATTTAATTAGTTAATTAAATGTTTAATATTTTAACATAAAATATTCAATTACGTAATTACTCTATACTATGGAATTTATGTGGTTTATTCACAACAAAGAAAGAGATTTGTAAAAATATATTATTCAAGCTTTATTTTGTTGTTTTAATCAATAAATGGATAACAAGAGACAAAGAAAAAAAAGAACACTTATTACAAAGGATATTGTAAAAACAATAAGAAAGTCAATTCTTAAAGAAATGAAGTTAAAAGAAATTGCGGAAGAAGTTGAAATATCAGTTTCTGCAACACGTTCTATTTCTGATAAAATCTGTAAAGGACTTAGTGATGATGAAATCGCATTAGTAAAAAAAGGAAGGCGCAGCTCTTATGACGAGACACTTAAATCTGAAATTCGAATGTTAATTGAGCATGATCCATCTCATACGTTAGCATCATTGAGAAACATTCTCGTTGAAAGGAATATTAATGCATCTATACCAACAATATCTAAATATTTGAAATCGATGGAGTTCACTAGAAAACGACTTACATTAGTACCAAAAGAAAGGAACTCGCCGCAAAACATTGATTTAAGACAAAGTTTTTGTAGGACTATTAATTCGATTCCTGACAATAACTTAGTGTTTCTAGATGAAACAGGCTTTAATTTACATACTTCTAAACAGTATGGTTATTCTATAAAGAATACAAAATGTTTTGTTACAGTGCCAGCAAATCGTGGAAAGAATGTAAGTCTCATGGCCGCTATAACAGTTAATGGTATTTTAAGCTTTAAGATAGTGCCTATAATGGCAATCCGTTTTGCGATTTTATAACCAACAATTTAAGACCGTATTTCCAAACGTATCCCCATTCTGTACTAGTATTGGATAATTGTGCATTTCACCGTAGAAGAGATGTAATCAATTTGCTCAGCCAATCCAGTGTTTCAGTTTACTTTTTGCCACCTTTTGAGACACTTAAATCTGAAATTCGAATGTTAATTGAGCACGATCCATCTCATACGTTAGCATCATTGAGAAACATTCTCGTTGAAAGGAATATTAATGCATCTATACCAACAATATCTAAATATTTGAAATCGATGGAGTTTACTAGAAAACGACTTACATTAGTACCAAAAGAAAGGAACTCGCCGCAAAACATTGATTTAAGACAAAGTTTTTGTAGGACTATTAATTCGATTCCTGACAATAACTTAGTGTTTCTAGATGAAACAGGCTTTAATTTACATACTTCTAAACAGTATGGTTATTCTATAAAGAATACAAAATGTTTTGTTACAGTGCCAGCAAATCGTGGAAAGAATGTAAGTCTCATGGCCGCTATAACAGTTAATGGTATTTTAAGCTTTAAGATAGTGCCTATAATGGCAATCCGTTTTGCGATTTTATAACCAACAATTTAAGACCGTATTTCCAAACGTATCCCCATTCTGTACTAGTATTGGATAATTGTGCATTTCACCGTAGAAGAGATGTAATCAATTTGCTCAGCCAATCCAGTGTTTCAGTTTACTTTTTGCCACCTTATTCACCACAATTGAACCCGATTGAGGAATACTATAGTTGTCTTAAAGCTAATTATACTTCTATAAGGCCGTTTCCAAAAACTAGCAATGAAGTTAAGGCTACTTTAAATTCGCTTATACCGACAATTGGCGTTGATTTTTGTGGTTGGTATTATAATATGAGAAGATGGGTTTTGAAAGGCATAGCAAGGCAAGAATTTTACTAAAGTGGATACTTTGCTTTTTATATTATATCTTTAAGTATAATGAGTTATAATTATATAAAAGATACTCTTTATTCTTTAGAAATTTATGAATAACTTTATGTATCATAATTGCACTATTGATTCAACTACATTAAATTAATTGCACTATTGATTCAATTGCACTATTGATTCAACTATGTTTTATATTTTCTTAAAAAATGTTTTATATTTTCTTAAAAAATGTTTTATATTTTCTTTAAAAATGTTTTATATTTTCTTAAAAAATGTTTTATATTTTCTTAAAAAATGTTTTATATTTTCTTAAAAAATGTTTTATATTTTCTTAAAAAATGTTTTATATTTTCTTAAAAAATGTTTTATATTTTCTTAAAAAATGTTTTATATTTTTATAAAAAATGTTTTATATTTTCTTAAAAAATGTTTTATATTTTCTTTAAAAATGATTTATATTTTCTTTAAAAATGTTTTATATTTTCTTAAAAAATGTTTTATATTTTCTTATAAAATGTTTTATATTTCGCATAAACCCTGTAATTAAAAACTATTTGTAAATTTGTTAAGTGTAAAATCTATAAATATTTTAACTAAAAATTTAAGAATTCAGCAAATATTTCTAATAAATGATGTCATTTACCGAAATATTTTATTTATTAAAAGTTTAAGAATTTGTAATATGTCATTTCGATAAGAGATCAAAAACGTCATAGCAATAAACGGCTTCGATAAACTAAAAAAAAAGGTTCACATTGTTTACATAAAAAGAAAAAAAGATTCAGAAAATATAAAAGGTGATCGACGACTTTTTTTATATATTTGTTTTGTTTAAGAGTGTAATATAAATATCTTAATTTTATTTAGTTTTCGCGCACTATTAAAAAAAAATAATTCTTAAGTTTAGCTTCCTATTAAATAAGGAACTCTTATTACGATTAAACGATTAATACGATTTTTTTTTAATACGACTGATAATAAGGCTATTTTAAAAAACAAATAAAACAATAACAAAAGATATTGATTGAAAAAACATTTTTACAATGACGTCATTAACTAAAACTCTTTGAAATTAAACGCGCTTGAAAAAATTAAGAAGTGTCTGTAGATTGTGGCGTATATTTTAAAGACTTTCAGAGAATAGCTACTGTGGAAACGGCGAGCTTCGAGTAAAACAACAAAGTTTGTTTTTGTTGGTATACATTAATTATTTTGTTTTACTTAAAAAAATTCTGCTCAAACTTTTTTTTATCATTCTCTTTAAAATAAACACAACTTGTCTCGGCACTTTGAAATCCCTTTAAGAAGCAGAAACATTTTGCTGTTACGACTGATTTGCGGAAATCAGTCGTAACGGCAAAATGTTTCTGCTTCTTAAAAACTGTTTCGAGTTCAGCTCGTTTCTTTCCTGCTTCACTACAAACATGACGGAAAATTTGCATAAAATCTGCAATTTTTCTAAAACGAACACCTTCTACTATTGAAAATAGCCAAACATCAGTAGCACACATGTTTGAAATAACATTAGCCAGTTCTATTTTATCCGTAGTAGATGTTTTTTTTTAAAGTTTCAAACAAAAATATTATTAAAGGGCTAACTTAATATACTTACCATGTTATTTAGTACCATTACCACAAAAATAACTTGTAGATCTGTTTTTACGTTCCCAGAATGTTATACAGTAAACTTCCAATAACTCGAACTCGCAATATCTCTAACTTCCAGTAACATGAAGTATTTAAAAATCCCCGTTGAACCTAATTTCTCATAAAATCATTCGATAACTTGAACTTTTGCAAACTCGAACTATTTTCGCGGTCCCTTGGAAGATCAAGATATCGAACTAACTCTATCTCTAATACTTTTGTTTTATTTATTATATTAATCAATAACAAAATAAAAAATCTCCAAAATGTAAATAAACAAATAAAAGTATAAAGAAATTTAAACAAACGAACTCCAAATCTCTAATGTTTTTAATGCGTTTTACATAAACGCACTTTAACAATGATACTTATATTTCGTTTTTTAATCAAATTATCACATTTAACATCTGTTACTGCTACCGCGATATTACCGCGTCTCTTATTACCGTTACCGCAGTATCACCGCCACTTCTGCAAAAAATACTGCGGTAACCGCTGTTTTACCGCATTTCTCGTTATCTTGTCACTCTCTATTGCAAAGCGCCTATTCAATATTCATTCAAAAACATAATAGTAAAAATAAAAGTCTTATCTATATATTTTGTTGAACTTGGTAAAGTATTTACTAAAATAATGATAAAATTTTTGGATACTTAGTTATTATTATAATATAATATTACATATTAAATATTATGTAATATGGTTATTGTTTAAACTAATAAAACTAAAAAAATGAAAATAGTATTAAAGCTTTTTAAGTTTTTATTAAAATAGTGATTACTTAAAGTACTGTTTCTAGATTTTAAGACTCATGAATACCTTTGTATTGTTTGTCGGTATTCCATTTACCGGTAATCGATTTATCGATACGACTAATGGTATAAAGGTTTGCTTTCTTATTTGTTCACAAAATCTTACATTATCGAATTTTATATTACTGTTTTTTTAAGATCAAAAAAGATGAATGAGCAATTGACAGAATAATTGCTTATGCTTTCTGTACAAATAATCCAATGAGCCAGATTGAATTATCTAATAAAGGTATGATTCCTTTATGCAACTGCACACTTCCATCTTCACCAGTTAGTAGCCTTAAGTGTACTATTCCTTACTAGTATTGTTAATAAAATAAAAGATAATTGTACAATTTCATTGTTTAACTTGATTCATTTATAGCTGTACTTTACAATGTAAATTGTGTCTACTGACTTATTCTGAACATTTTAATTTACGCTGCATGTGTATATGAGGAGCCAATCAGCAAAACACGCTGTCACAAAAATAAAAAAAATTTAGTTTGTTCTGTTTTCACACTCTATATACTAAAATCTATCCTCTATTTAAATATTAAACTTATTAAAAAATCTTTGGTCCAATAAATGAAAAAAGAAAATATTATTTTCTGTTGATGCGCAATTAAGAGTAGTTTAGTTATTCGTAGTTTTCACAAAATTCAAATTACGCGTTTTGCAAATACTCGCGCGTTTTGCAAATGGGTTTCTCATATAATAGTTTAATTCATATGTAATATTTTTTGATTAACTAAATGAGATATAATTCTTTTATCCTACCTTCTAATACGTTTTACTAAACCATAAAAAGAAATCAATAAAGTCATATCACACGCAACACGTAACACGCGCATAAATAACAAGTTAAAAATTTAAACCGTTAATCATTCCGAATTCTAAGTAGTTAGTTTAAATTTCATTCATTATAAGAGCGTTCTTTATTTTGCGTTTTTTATTTCCATTAAGACGCTATTTCGGAAACTTATTGAATATAATTAAATTTTAACCAGACTTTTGAAAGACTTTTTCTTAATACACCGAATTCTGATTTAGCGAGTTGATTTATTGATAGTTATTTAGTATTGAAGCAAAGTACTTGTAAATGAACATTTGTAAATGAATATTTATAAAATGTTCATACAAAATAAGTTGAGGTGTATGTTCTTCCATCATTCAACCGATTACTTTAAATACAATAACTTTTTTATTTGTTTATTGCAAAAAGTAGAACCACAGCTTAGCAATAGTACTAAAAATATTTTTTTGAGATTTTTATTACTAGAAATAACTTGATTCAAAAATTAAGGTCGTTTTGTAATCTAAATATTTTGAAAAGTAATTGGTATTTTTTTGATTTAATAACAAAATCAATTATAGCATTATATTACCCTTATACAGGGCCGGCGTAGGAGCATTTGGCGCCCTAGGCGAATCTGATACACTGCGCCCCCCATCTCTCCAACTTACTTTCACAAAGGAATGCTTAAATTATATTATTAGATTTAGTATTTACATTCGGAAGAATATATACATGCATAATCTTAAATAAACGTATATTCGTGAAACTTTATACTATATTAATAAATAACTCCAAAATTTCACGCTTTTTTTTTCGCGCTTTTGTTTATGCAAATGTAGAAACGAGTTCCATCAGTTCAATGTTTCTAGCAATATCATGTTCACGCAGTAGCTAATCCAGCAAGTCTTTTTTGCTGCATAGACGTTCTCAAAAATTTTTTTATCAGTTTGAGTTTTGAGAAGCTTCGCTCACCGCTAGCCACGGAAACTGGGAGTGTCAAGAGGATGCTTAAAGCTATAACAGTGTTTGTGGCACTATCTGTTAGATTATTTTTGAATATATATGAGCAATGAAAATTTAGCATTGTATTAATTAATACAAAATTTCGTTCTGCATAAAAAGTATAAAAAGAAAAAAGAAATCGCAATAAAACGTAAGGATCAAAGTTTAAAAGAGTACTTTTTCAAATCTCCTAAATTTAATTCAAAAGAGATTTGAAAAAGATTTTGGCAATGTTTTCAAAATTTTTTTTTTTATTTAGCAAGTTTGAGTGCTACCCTGGAAAACTTGCCGCCCTAGGCGGCCGCCTAGTTCACCTAGTGGTTTAACCGGCCCTGCCCTTATAGTGTGCATATTTTTAAATAGTAAGCGTTGATAACACAAAAAATATGCCTTCCACCAAAAAGATAACTTTAAAAAAAAATTATTTTAGCACTTTTCAATTTTCAAGACTCAACTCTTTAATTTTCAAGACGGAAAATTAGTTTTTAAAATTAGTTTATTGTTTTAAAAAACCCTTCCCAGCAAACACTGGAGGTACAAAAAACGTACAATCTACGTTCAGTTTACGTTCTGACCAAAATACTTTATTTTGGTCTGCGTGGAACGTTCAAGTACGTCTGAATTACATTCGGAAGTGTGCCCTTTCATAATTAAACATAGAGCAAACGAATATGTAAACTAAAATTAAAATCTCGTTTTATTAGTATTGTTCAAAAATATTTAGTTTTATGGTTAATTTTTCGAAGATTATTTATTCGGTAATTGTTAAATGCTTGGGCCATATTTTATATTTTGGTACCATATTACAATAGTACCATAAATACAATAACTAAATACGAAATAAACTACCAAACATTTTCACAACAACTTGATTTAGAGAATTCAATTGCACAACATATTTCTTTAAATATTTGTAAAACTTTATTTTTTCAACTGTTTTTAATAATTTATTCTTAAAAACTATTCTACTTCAATTCATCAAAGTTTGTATAATAATAATTCAATCAGCAAAGGTGGTACCCCAAGAAATAAAGAGACGTTAACACTTAAAAAGTATTAAAAAAAAGGATACTCAAATAAAGTTAAGCAAACTGAAAAAAATATCATGCGAATCTGCAGGTTTTTACTTTAATATATTTGTTCCAGAAATTATATATTTTTTTATGCTTTTTGATTAATTTTAATTTTTATATCGCAAAATCTCAAAGTATACTTTTTCACTAGTTTTCAAAGTTTGCGAAATGATAACTTTTTAAATAATTATGCAAAATTTCTGAAATTTTCACAGATTATTCTTCACATTATTAAAATTCATTTAAAAAAAGATTTTTTTTTCAATACATTTTAGATCTTGAAATTTTGTTATATTAGGGTTGTTTAGCTCGCTTACTTTTTAGTGTCTCATGCATAGTTTCTAAAATATTCATTTGTTTTCATTTCTTTTCTCTTAAATGAATTGTTACCATGATTAAAAAATGTTCCAAATTTCATGCTAAAATAACTAGTAGGGTAGGGTGGGGCAAGAGGCCCAGGTGGGGTAAAAGGCCCATCCTGCAGTTATAAAGAACCTAGGTAAAATATTATAATTATTGTTTTGTAGTATGAATGATAAATGTGTAACAGTGTTGCGAGCGAATTTTCAGTAGAAATATAATTTTTAACAGAATATTGAAGACTTGACACGTAATAAGAATTTTGATTTTTTGCGTAATTTTAAAATTTTTTTGTGGATTATTGTTAAACTTAGTTGATTATTTAAATGAGTTTATATATTTGTAAGCGTACAAATTATGTATTGATTATTTACATAACGTTCATTGTACCATAGAATAATATGTTTTTATCAATTTTTGCACCGACCATTTTGGGGCAAAAAGCCCAGTTTGTTAATGGGGCAAAAGGCCCATCCTGAGCTTTTTACCCCTTGCATTATTTAAGTAGAATGTTCAAATTTTAACTTTATTTTATTTATAGATATAGTTAGAAATTACAAAAGAAAGACAAAAAGAGGAAGTTATGGAGCAGAAGGTTTACAACGGGCTTTAGATTCAGTAAAAAATGGTATTTCTTTGCGTAAAGCTGAAAACAGTTTTGGAGTTTTAAGGAAGACATTGAGAAGGCATTTGCAGGGCAAAGTAAGACAAGTTGGGAGCAATAAATTAGGAAATCATGTGAATACTTTTTCTATTGAAATTGAACAAGATCTTGTTAAACACATCCAAATGATGGAAAGAGCATTATTAGCTAGAAACGAAACAAGTGAACCTACGAATACAAATAAAGAAGCCGGCAATGCGGTGGATGATGAAGCATCGGTTAATGTGATGGAGACTGATAGGATTGCAACAGGAGATAGCAATGAGTCCGATGTAAATCAACTAGATAAAACAGCTGATCATCCTGGTTTATCCGAAGCATTGCAGATTATATCAGAACTAAGCCCTATTCCAAGGATAAAGAATGTACACAGTCGCAAACAAAAAACCGAAGCAGCAACTGTAATAACTTCTAGTCCTTATAAAGCAATGTTAATTGAAGCAAATGCAAAGAAGACAAAACAGAACAAGCAAGTAGTAGTTGAAAATAATAATGAGGAAAATGATGAAGACGAAATCGATGTAATCGCAGACAAATCCAAGAGAACGAAAAGTGGAGATGACAAAGAAACCGGGAAAAGGAAGCAATATGCGAGAACAAAATCAAAAAGGACAATCAAAAGTAACGCATCGAATGCTAACGTGATAAGAAAAGGGTCAAAAGAACGAAGATGTGTAGGTTCTGTTACTAACAGTGATGATACGCCATGTTGCATGTGTGGTAAAAGATTTAACGAACCACCCATTGATGACTGGGAGCAATGCCCAGAATGTCTCAACTGGTACCACGACGGCTGTGGTCCTGATGACACTGCTGTCTGCTTTCACTGCCAATAGGCATAATCAATTCAACTAGTCTTACTGTAGTTT